TTTTTTTTGCACAGAAGTTTTGCATCTATGTTTATGAGACACTGGCTTATGTTTTTTTCTTTCTTATGATATTCTTTTTTAAATATTTTTAGTTATAGATAGATGCAATATCTTTATTTTGTTTATTTATTTTTATGTGGTGCTGAGGATCGAACCCAGTGCCTCACATGTGCAAGGCAAGCGCTCTGCCACTGAGCCACAACCCCAGCCCCTCTTGTGATATTCTTGTCAATGTTGTTATCAAGGCAATTAAAGTCTCATAAAATAAATTGGGGAAATTTTATAATTCTTTCTAGCCCCTGGAAAAGTTTTGAGATTGCTATTGACTTCTAACTTAATTGCACACTAACATTTTACCTTGACAGGCATTTTCCCTTGGCACTTTGAAAACGTTGTTCCTCTAGGGGATGTTGTTCACTAGTAGAGCACTTGCTTAGTATGCATGCTGCCATGGGTTCAATCTCCAGCACTCATCAAGGGGAAAAAGTGTTACTATTAGAAAGCTTTATTCCTCTATCTTCTGACTTTGTTGCTTTTGAGAAGTCTGCTCTCAATTGCCTTTGGGGATATCCAGAAATGCATAGATTTTTTCATACTTTCATGTCTTCTAATTTCTCATGTATAATTTCTCTCTCCTCCCTGCATTCTAAGTGATTTCTTTAGATCTATCATCCTGATCAATAACTCTCTATTTTTGTCTAAGTTGCTATTTAACCTCTCTACTGAAATTTTAAAATCAACAGTTATATTTTCATTTCTGGAAAACCTACCTGATTCTTTTAAAACTATATATAGAGAGACACTTCCAGTAAAGACCTTATTTTATGGACTCATTTATCTCTGCCCTTCTTGTTGGCTGCAACTATATAATCCTAGATAAAGGAAGAGGCAACCAAAAGAGAACTTAGAAAGATGGAAAGAGGATGGTGAACTGGTGAGGGACTCAGGGACTTGAAGAAAGACACATCATCAAAATATCTAACAATTCTCCACTCATCAGAAGAAGTTGACTTGGGCCTGTCAGTAATTGACTTCAAAAAGTAACAGAAGGTGGCCCAGGCAGATTCATTTTTTTCTCCTAGATGGACCAGGAGCCCCAACAACAACCCCAAGTGAAATGGACAGCATTGGCAAGAGGGATCGATAGGGATCTCCTTTGACAAAAGTAGCCACAGGAAACTCTCCTTCTACATCAAACTCAAAACTCTCCTCCCACAGGAAGTGATAATGGGTGACTGACTATGCAGTACCAGCAAGGCAGGGAATGCCATGTCAAGCAACCTGAAGTTGGAAACCTCTTTGTCCTCATGGGCCTCATACTCCTCTGCCTCACTCAGAGACATTAGGCAGGGTGGCCCAAGAGTACCAGTAGATCCATTGCAATAAGCTGTCTTGGTCTGGAAGCACTCTTGTTCTCCCAAAGGCAGGGGGATCCTGCTATAAAAAGTGCTTTGAAGGAGGCACTTTTCTTCTCCACTGAGCCAGAGATTCCTTTTCATACCAAGCAGCTGGTAGCTTTGTTATCAAGGCATAGCCTTGGCCAAAGTTCCCTGTTAGGTCTTAAACATTAAATAAATAAATAAATAAATAAATAAATAAATAAATAAATAATAAGTCATACTTAGTCTGAATATAAAATTCCTGCTCATGAAAATACATCATTAAAAAATTTAAAAGTGAGAGTATGTGGGGAAAAAGGTACACTTGTTCATTGTTGGTAGGACTGCAAATTGGTGCAGCCAATTTGGAAAGCAGTATGGAGATTTCTTGGAAAGCTGGGAATGGAACCACCATTTGACCCAGCTATTGCCCTTCTCAGGCTATTCCCTGAAGACCTTAAAAGAGCATACTACAGGGACACTGCTACATCGATGTTCATAGCAGCACAATTCACGATAGCAAGATTGTGGAACCAACCTAGATGCCCTTCAATAGATGAATGGAT